GTGCCTTCTTGTGCTGAGCTCGCTGAATGAGTCGTTGCTTCGACGGGGCGGGCCGGCTCCCACACCAGCCCGGTCCTCGGATCAAAACAATTCCTCCTCAGGCCTGGTCTGCTTCCTTCCTGCCTAGGTTCCTCCATTTCCGATGCCACCGATGCCGCTTCCGCGACCTCCTGGAGATCCTCAGCTTCTTCCTCAGGCCCCTTTACTCAGATGCTTTCCGAGATTATTGGAAGCTCTCAGAAAAATACTCGGCAGGACCAGCAGCCAATCCGAAGACCCATGACCTTCAACCTGCCAATGTCACATCGTTCTTGTATTCGGTTACTGAAAGAGATTCTATTCTGGACAAAGTGAGTTGCAAGGTCATGGGAATACCAATGATACCTCCAAGCAGAGTCCCTCCTCAGCGTGTTCGGACTCTGCTACATTCGATGGAGAGTCCAGTGCTGATGATGCCTAGGTTCCTGGTCCTCCTCCTGTGCCCTTCGTTCCTTTTGTTGGACCTTGTCGGATGCCCATGTTTCCCGAGGTGGGGGGGCTTATAGTGATGCGCCACGATTGATACTGGGGCCCGATCAATTTCATTGCAGGTCCCAAGTGTTCCTGATGAAGTGAAGGCCGGGGGCCCAAGCCTTCAAAGTAGTGGGGGAGGCTTGAGTTCTCGCCGCGATTTACATTTGTGTCCAGGTGAAAGCAGCAACACCGCCTCGCCGCGGAAATGATGTCCCCCCGCAGGTGGGGGCCTTGTATGCTGGCTAGACTCAATTGTCAGGAGGGCCCAATAAACTGCAGGTGGAAGTGGCAGCAGCAGCTTCAGAGCCCGAACACAACGTCCCTGCGAAGGCTGGGTGCATTATATTGGGCAACCAATCAATTGATATGAGCATTCAACGCAGGTGCAGGCAACATTTGGGCTCCGATGTGAGGGTGCTGGACTTCCAGCCACGTACTTGGCTGTTGCTAGTTCTTTCATGGTTACACCCGGACAATCTTCTTGCATGCAGGTGCAGACAGCACGGCTACGGACTACATTAGAAGCAGTTCGCAGCCCAGTGCGGGGCATCCTGCTGGCAACAGTTGATCAGACTCCTAGTCTTGAGTCTTCAAGAAAAAGATGCCATACCCAAAGGGGCCACCAGAGGCAGTCTCCGACTAAACTGACCAGGGTGTTGGCGCAACATGAATGATTGTGGGAGGTGCTTGCTCCGGATTTGCGTCGCCCCGCAGAGCCAAAGGACTGCAACTAGTGTTCCAAATCAAGCATGTTAGTCTAAAGATGACCCGCGGGCAGGACCCGCCACGACGCTGACGTGCACAGCTGACGTGGACAGACAGGCTGCGAAGGGAAAAAGCTGTTGGCCACTTTGCAAGGTCGTGTGCTGGGGAAAGTCACAACAAAGCCGTCTAAATACATATATATATATATATATATGTATATATAGTCCGAAGCCTGCCTAACAAAAGCCAAGGAACTGCGGAACCGCATGATGCTGGCTGCTGGCATAGGACCAGTCCTGCAGCAGGATGTGTTAGGAATTTGATTTCTGCTTTGCTCGGTTGCACTTCTTCAGTGCATGCACTTCGGCAGTGCCCTTGACGACGATGTGTTTGCACTTTTGCACTGGTTGAATTTCAACGCACTTTCGCAGTGCCTTTGACATCGATGTGACTGCACTTTTAATTTGCAATGCTCGAATGCGCTGTCGTTTCGCCCCTGATGATATGATTGCACTGTTGCAGTGCTCCAATGTACTGCCACGGAACTGAAGCCCGCCTCGCCTCCCCTCCAACCCACAATCCCTCCAAAACTCCATCAACCCCACCCCTAAGCACAAAAAGTATCCCGAAACCCAAACCCTGAATGCCTCCCACACCTCTCCCTCAACCCCAACTGAATCCAATGCCGCCCCGCCACCGCCACCGCACCACCAACCATCCAGACCTCCCTACCCCAGCAATTTCGCCCAACACCTCTCCCCCAACCCCAACTACATCCCATGCCCCCCCACCGCCATGAAACCACCAACCATCCAGAGCACCGCCAACCATCCAGACCTCCCCACCCCAGCACTTTCGCAGTGCTGTTGGTGCACCTTGCTCTTGGTCGCATGGGCACTTTGCCAGTGCTGTGGTGCACTTATCCAGTGCTGTTGCACTTCTCCAGTGCTTTGGTGCACTTGTTCAGTGCTTTGGTGCACTTGTTCAATGCTGTTACACTTGTTCAGTGCTGTTGCACTTGTTCAGTGCTGTTGCACTTGTTCAGTGCTTTGGTGCACCTGTTCAGTGCTGTTGCACATTTTCAGTGCGATGCACTTTGCCAGTGCTTTGGTGCACTGCTTTCAGTGCTTATGCTGCACCTATGCACTGTCCCAGTGCTTTCGTGGTGCGACACAGATTTTGAGTTGACGGGTTCTCGGCAATAAGATAGTATCTTACATTACTCCGTTGAATTAGACAAGATTTAGGATGCCAAAGATATGTATTAAAGTTGTTTGCGATGTACCGGGTTTCTTTATATTATTTGTTGAACCCAACATATGACCTTACGGTTTTGATTTGATCAAATAGAAAGCTGACCCCGACATGCCTTCTTGGACCGACTCATTCGACAGCTGTTTTCTAAGCGTAAGAAAACGTTTCTTTCATGAGAGGTTCACAGAAATCACATGGGTTTCATGCTCCAACACCAGATAATCCCTTTTATAGATGGAAAACAACATGGGAAATCGAGGCTAGCTATGGCACATGTTCACACCAATATTCTCTTTGAAAGCTGTTTATGTTGAAACAAACATCGGGAAACAACGTTGCAAAATGTCGTTCTATATGTCAAAACTCATGGCCCCAATAGGTTTGGCTCATGGCCCCTTTACCGTGGCCAGGGTTTTTTACGGGGTGCCACGAAGGTGTTCACCTGATTTTTCACATCCCGCTGCCCCTGGCAAAGCACAGGATGAAAGATGCCGCTGGCCAAGAAGAAGCCGAGGCCATTGGAATAGCCTGCTGCTCAAAGCCCTTGAGCCGCCTTGTGGATCGAAACCACGTCTGTGGTGAGCTCCACAGCGCAATCAGGCAAGGTTTGGCAATTGACTCCATCGAAAATGAGGGAGCCGTGTTTGTCGTTAGGCGGCAGCCACCTTGAACATAGCAGCGACTGGTGACAAGAAGGCCTACAGCGTCAGCAATGCGGGCGTCACCTTTAGATGCTCCCAAACGGCAATGTGCAACATCCTCAGAGGATGCCCAGGCGGTGGTAGCAAAGTAGCCAGGCTGACCGCCAACAGTTGCAAACCCAAAGGTGGGACTGGGAACGCCACCCTTGTGATTGTAAAAACTGTGCAGCAATACAATACGCGGGGGCACGGCTTTTGCTTGCTTGGGGACGGCTTGCTCCCCTTCTCTATCCCCAGTCAGACTGCCGAATACGTCTGCGAGGCAACAACAAGAAGAGGACGCCGGTGCAACGCGCATTTCGGTACGTGGCGGCAAGGTAATTCCTGCTGTCCGTGCTGCTTGGGAAACAGTAGTGTATACTGCATCCGCTTGGACAGGGCTGCATGGGGACAAATCCGCATTAACGGGAGGCCCCACCCTAAGGGTGTGAGTTTTTGCTGGCGCCTCAGCGGCTTGCACAACTTGACGATCAGAAACCATCTGATCTGCATTGATCCCAAGGAGCTTCCGGTTAAGGGCAGCATCAGTCTGCAACTGCTGTGCTAAAGTGTTGTGTAAGCCTGTAGTTGCAGAGTCTGGCGTGTCCGGTGCAGCAGTCTGAGGCTTCCCGGCTTCGTCTACGAAGCATCTGGCTGGATTGGGTCCAAGGCGCGTCTGAAGCAGAGTATCAATGACATCAGGCCGTGAGAAAACACTGGAAAATGCATCCGCATCTGTGGCCCTCTCCATGCTCTCAACCAGCTGAGTAACAGTACTGCTCATCACTCCAAAGGGGCCGTCCATTCCAGTGAACGCGGAACAAGGGTTGGCCTTGTCAAGGAGGGTATAGAGCTTGGCAAGCTGATCCTCGGACAACTTATCACAACGTTGGAGACCATCCGGCACCAACGTAAGGGTAGTGTGGAATGCACACAGCTCTGGCGCCAGTGCTCGAGCAATTGTTAAAGCTGTAGTATCTCCTGCCTTCAAGGATGCTGCCACAAGAACATACCAAGGCAACACGACGGTAGTGCCTGCTTTCTTAAACCGCGGAGCAAATGGGGTTTTTAGGGTTTAGGGGTTTTAGGGCTCAGGACCCAAAGGACAAGGAATGCCTTGGTATTGGGTTTCTTTTTGTTGAAGGCCTCTTGGCCGACATTGGGTTTAGGGTTTAGGGAGATGGACGGCCTGGTGTGTTTAAGGTTTTGGGGCTTAGGAAAATTGGAATGGTCTTGGGTTCAAGGTTTAGGGCCTAGGACGGCCTGGTATGTTTAGGGCGTAGGGGTTGAGAAGAGAGGCCTGATATTGGGAGCGCGCATGATTGGAAAGGCTTCGGGGGTGTGATGCCTTCCGATCTTCAACTCTTGCTTCTCAGGTTTGCGTCTACGGGGCTTCAAGCTCGCTAGTACTTCTAAGCCTGAACTTAAGACATGTAAGTTTCATCTAGTGCGGCTTTCTTCCGAGGTGTTGGATCTGTGAGAGCGATTCACGGCTTCGGGTGGTCTGTTACTTCAATCAACGGCTTGGGATGTTGGGCGCCGTTTCGCAATGAGACGCCTCCCGAGACACCAAAGATGGCAAAGGGCGTCCCTCAGGTGCACAAGCCTGAACTGCAAACCCTCAAAAAGTTATGGAACCGAGATCACCAACGCTTCGGCAACATGCTTGGCGCTTTCGTTACCGGATCGATGGCCCGAACATTGGGGCCTGCACCTGCCTCCTCTCAATATGCTACCATAGCATCCTTGTATGGGCACTATGAAGGGATACTATGTTGCTCGTCGTTCTGGCTCCTATGTTAACCTCCCATAGACCACAATACTAGCGACAATTCAAAGCCATAGCACCTTGGATTGAACCAAGACGGAGACTTGCCTCCATACCTCGGCTCCATCGGTGGAAGCTTCGTTCTCAGGGTCATCATCATCATCAGCGTCACATATATATATATACACACACACATTACCTTTGTGCACTTTACGAACCTCTGATATACACATTGTCATAATACCACGCACTTATTGTAATATACGTACTCGGTAAAACAAGGTCATGCTGCATCCACCTTCCAAGGTTTGGGCTTTCCTTATGCCTTACGACTCCTTGAGCCGCTTTGCAACCAGTATACAATCTATCTTCCCTACAATTTGCCTACAATCCTGCGATCGAGAAAAACTACATTCTTCATCTCTCACCAGGTCTATGAGTTGAGGATGACTTCAAAGCACAACACAGTGGCTGAGTTGTTGGGACCAGACAGCGTGAATGCAAGACCAAATTCCTGAACCCCTTCCACTGCCAGCTGACGGATGGGCTGTCCAGGCCGGGAGTGTCGATGATCGAGAGCGCACGCTCCAAGTTTCGCGACGGTAGCCTGGGCGTGAAGAGAAGCCCAAAGGCAACATGCACCCCCCCAGCATGCGTGCCCTCCAAGATGTGCTTGATCCCTGAGACCTGTGTCTTCCGTCGAATGCTTTGCCATGTGTCCAGAAAGGTGTGGAATGGAAGGCTCTGTGGGCATCTGAAGACTCAGGGCAACCTCGGTTTGGAGAGCAAATCCGGCAGACGGAGCTCCGAAGCCAAAACCAAATTTACATATGTACGTGTGTATGTAAATAAAAAACATGTGTATTACATATATATATATATATATATATACACACTTATTCATTGATTTGTTCGAATAATAATACTACTAATGATAATAAGACTACTGATAGTAATAACAAAGAATATACCTATCATATGGCATCTCCATCTTACCTCCACGCCCCACACACCCAAAAAGTGACCCTGAAGCCTTTTATTTAAAGCATTTCTTCTCTGCTGAGCTGCAGCACATGAAGGCGTCGATGGGAACCTGCAGGCACCTGCGCGGATATCGGAACGCTGACTATAGCAATCACAGGGCTATAGGGTTTGGGGGTTTAGGGCTTAGGGGGTGATTATATAAGCAAGCTATGCCAATGTGCGCAACGATTCTACGAGCACCTGTCCAGGAAATTTCCGAAAAAGCCGGGCCCTGAATCACAAAGCGAGCCGCTCCTCCGCTGCACAAAGCTCCTGGAGGTGCTTCTGCCTTCAGATCTGGGAGTGGCGCATGCAGGGATCAGGATCGATTAAAATGGGTTTTTTTGAGAGGGGTTTCTATTTGGCGGTATTGTGTCAGTGTTGTGACTATTACTTTTATTACTACTGTTGTTGTTGTGGTTGTTAGACAGTATGTCCCTTTGGATATTTCTGAAGAGGTGAGCCGCAGATGTGTCTGCCTATGGCGGGCAAGAATTTAGGAAGGCCATCAGCCAGACCAAGAGTTTTTTCTGATACCGGCATACATCTCAGGTAGCAGTAGTGGCCATGCTAGGGTCACGCCAGAACAGTGAAACTTAAGCCAGCTTCATTTGAAAGCAAAGCCGAGCAACAATCGCCGCAGCGGACGAGATCCGGAAAGAACTACCTTTCAGGGCGGGGAGCCTTCTGTCAAAATTCCAGGGTTCCGTGTTCGGGGGTGGTTGTGAGGGCGCAAGAGATGCACGGGCGCAGAGGCAAGCCCAAGCGATGAGGAGCTTAGAACTTAGCAGTCACGTTGGGATTTCGACCGTTTATAAAAATGGCTGATGCAACCCCTCCCTGTGGCAACATGTTGTTGCCTTCGGACCGCTTTTGAAGATTAAATCTGTGATTACTATGCATCTACTTTCTCTGCGGGCTTTGTTTTTGCTGCCGCCAGGAAGCCGGATAGCCTTCGGAGAGCTTGAAATTCCGCGCAGCAATCGGGCGGATCTCCTCGCCGGCCTGCCATGATATTGCCGGCAGCCAAGAAAGGTCAGACAAAGCAGCAGCTGCTAGATGACGACCAGGTATCTCCGAATACGTTGTTGCCAGCTCCTAAACGGTCCTGCGGCACTGCAAGAATCAAGCGCCGTCGCGGAGCAGGCCCTAGCACCGAAAGCCAAATCTGCAAATTTCCCTGGGCTCAATTCCTGAACACTCTTCCCCCCAAGCAGACGGCAGCTGGAACACTCGACCCACCTACAAACACCTACATCTCGACAACATTTCAAAACCCAGCTCCTTTAAAGAAGCCGATCGTACATAATCTGTAACATCAACCGCCCAGTGGCACAAGCCCTAAAGCCGAATCAACTCTAAAGCCCGAAACCCGGAAAGGAGCAACCGCCTCCGGACGGGGCACAAGCTCCGGATCCTGCTCGGCTCGTCTTGGCTTCAGGGCTGAAGTCGGGCCCAGTGTTCTTCACTGGCACTTGCCAATATTGTCGATGATCGCCATGTAATACGAGTGCAAGCTGTCCTATTGGCATCGTCAGTATTCTTTTCGTCATGGTGTGGTCGCTGCACATCCGCCCTTTGACGGTCATACAGTGTTGCTTTACCCAGAGGCCCCAAAGTAGTTGCTTTTCAGGTTTTATATATAGAATCCTATAAGGTAATCTCAGAACAAGACCTACTACGGGGCCTCTGGGTAATATGATGACTCAGGCAGTCATGGCGGCGGGGATCTCCAAACTGCTTCATTGTCGAACTTACGTAGAGTAGGATCGACTTCATGTGAAGTTCCTGACAGTTTCTGACTCTCTCCTGGTGTCGAGGGCATCGGGCGCTTCTTATGAACCTGCTTGGTTTAAGCAAGAACCGCAAGCGCAAAATACTGTTCAAACTTCAACCAGTTCCGGACAGGCGTTTCAGAGTTCGTAGTTCAACCAAAACCATTCCGACTACAACTACCTGCTATCGCAATGGCTCCGGCATCGATGACTCCTGGTCCTACTTCGCTCCTATGGCGAACGCCACGACGACTCCTACTGAGGTCCTACTGCTACCACCTGCAGACCCAAAGTCACGCTGCTCCTGCACCGTCTCCGGCACACTTTCCATGAGGCGGATCTCGATGGCCGTGCAGGAAGGGCTTAACTCCAGCTCTGTGACGATGCCTCGCGATGCATTTCGTCTGCCACTTGTCTGTAGGAGCATTGCATAAGATGATGCCTGGGAACTCACCTTGACATAGATGCTAGTAAGCAAAGCTGCATGCTTCGTGGAAGCTCTTCAGGTCAACCCTCGTAGCCACGAAGCAAGGAGGGCAGGCGAGCTCAGCTCTGCCGAGACACGAGTGTTTTCGTTGAAGGATGTGGGCATCACGTTCAAGCGTCCCCCACGGTCCTCTTTGAGCTCCTCCGCAATCTGGGGACGAACATGTCTTAGTTTATACTTCTTGCTGATGCCCGAAGATCTACAACTGCGACCTGACAACCTCAGATGGCCGCGGTGCGGATGGACAACTTTCCGCCGCCTCGCGTGCTTTCAGCAGACCCCCGCCGGAACAAGCAACTTTTTTCGACCTCAACACCCCATCTAAGGCCCATTTTACAATTCCCCCCTTTTCGGCTCAGGAGTGCTGTCACGAACAGCCAAGACCAAACAAACTTCAGAACTACAAAACAACCTTTTGGCGGGTAGCACTGCCCTCGACATCAGAGTTTGA